CGCCCCCGATGTATTGTGACAGCGGTGACACGGGTAGAATATTCCACAGCAAGGAAACTTCACAAGGCAACGCCGCTGATAATGCTCGCACTGCCATCGCGGGCTCTCTTGGACAGGCGCCCGTTCTCCCCTAAACCACCTTGCATCCCTGTCTTCATTTTCTATGTTTTCTCTCCTGTCTCTTTCTTCTCTTTCCCTTATTTCTCTCTCTCGTCTTTCTCTCATTTTTCTATCTTCCCTTTCTCTTTCTTCTCTTTCTCTCCTTTCTCTTTCTTCTCTTTCTCTCATTTCTCTTGCCTCTCTTTCTTTTTGTTCTCTTAACTCTCTCTTTTTTTTCGCTGCCTCACGCTGCGCTTTTGTTCTTTCTTCGCGTTCTTTCATAACCCTTTCAACTACTGCGCATGCCTCCGCCACCTTGCGTTCCAGTGCAGCAAGTGAAGGGTCATCCGGGAACGCAGGTGATAATGCTAAAGCACCATTTCCCTGATCCTCTCTCCTTAAAGGAGATATTTCAGATGAAGTCACAGGATGAACATGTTCTTGGTTTTCTGTAAACGAACTGGGTGTGGAAGGCTCCAGGAAACGTTCTTGCCCGTTTTCAGGCAACACACTGGATTGATAGCTGTATGAAGGTACACTCCCAGATGTTACACTCGCACTAGGCTGCAACTCCATGACTGTTGCAGTGGCCTTGGGACATACCACGGGCGTATGCGATTTTACTCTAGGTAACCTTAATGCAGCTGACTCGACGTTCCAGTTACTTTGTCCCCCAGTTTGATAACCGACGACGGAAGGGTGCAGTACACTTGACTGAGGCCATCGATGTCTCAAATCATTTGTTTCAGTCATTACAGGAGGTGGTAGACTCCATACGGGCCAATCCGTACGTGGAGTCAATTCTCTTGTTAGTTTATAATCACTAGGCTGTGAGGCATGTTGTAGACTTGGATCTGTCGTATGTCGCGCAAGGAAATTTTGGTTGATACCTGTCGCATCTAGGGATGGTATTCTGCTGTTGTAAAAGTAATTTAATTCCGCTCCATTTACTCGAGGTAACCTCAGTGACGAAGTCTTCGATCCTAGGCTTGGTGGATAACTTGTCGTAAGTACCTTTGCAGTGTACTCATTACTCGTAAGCAACGTTTTCGCTCTAGCCCCCGGCGGCTTTTTGTTACCATTGTTGTCCCCCGCTGTAATCACGATTGTCCGAGATTTGACTTGGTCATCTAAGCCAGTGTTAACTGGTAGGCTAAAATTTGTTTCCTTGGTAGCTAATTTAATATCTTTAATACTTTTCCCTGGTACAATGCTGTCAACAGGTAACGAGCTTGATTTGGTCACAGTGTAATCATCAGCGGCAGCATCATTTTTATCTTCATTATCAAAATTGCTATCCGTGATAAACTTTCCATGGATACCATCGTCTTTAACATCAGCTCTGTCACCACTGCTATCTTTATTACCATCACCACCCCCACCATCACTATGTTCGTCACGAGCACAGTGGTGGTGGGGGTGGTGATGGTTGACACATCCTCTGTAGCCATTGTCACCATCTTCATCACTGTCATCGTCATTTTCAACAGTAGAACCAGCATTGGTTTCATCATTATCATCATCGTGGTCAGCATTACCATTGCCTATGTTAGCGTCATCATTGCCATCAACATCGTGCCCGTGCCTATCGCCTAGTTCATTAGCACCACCAGTTTGACATTCAGCATCCTTACTGCTGTCGCCATAACACATTTTGTCTTCTCTGGTTGAATTACCGGCAGCCCCTTCAAGGGAGAAAAACGAGTGAGGTTTAGCAGGCAATCACAGCAATAAAACCAGCAAATATACTGAACCAGCGAATGACTTACAACGCAGGGCTTTCACTAAGGCTATCACGTATGATCCCCGGCTACTTTCATGGGCAACAAAAGGAAATGAGGACCAAGGGAACTTGTTGTTGAAATCTCCACCTAATGATTGCATATATCCGACAACTTGAAGTCTTAGCGAAAGCATATCATTATATATTTCGCCACCGTTGGGGAGCAATGGTGGTGCAGTGGTGAGAACACAGGTAACCCAGGCTCTGTGATAGTACCACAGTACCGTTCCAGTAAAATTACAGTGTTTGTATGGGGTAAAATACCATCCTAAAATTTCTAGGAAATACTAAATAAAGATCGATGAAACTTACTCTGCAGTTAATTGTCGTTGTCCTTATTGCTCCAACGAAGCTTCGTGATAATTTGCAGTAATTTGTTCAAATTCACTCTATCTACAATAATAATATACAAGGTAGGAAACACGAGATGCCATTTTTGCCGACATGCTCGTCATTCAAAACAATTTTTTCCAGGAAATTCGAACTCCAACGGAAAATAAACATGCCAGGATCGTAGAAATAGGATAGCAGCAGATATAGAAACCAATGAAGCTTTCCCAGATAGAGAAACGAATCCCACAGACTTTGACAAACTCCAAGGATATAATCCAAACAGACCGAGAATATGCTCGCCGAAGCAGCCGGGCCAGATCAACGCACGGCCAAGAAAATGAGGCCTGGGCACTGTACAAAAAAATTCCATCTCGGGAGTCCTGGGGTGACCTTTCTGGGGACCGATACATCATCTGCCCAAAGCCACCCTCCCCTGCTGGAAAAATACTTGATAGAAGGCAATTGTTCTTCCTAGCCAATCACAGTTCGCCAGAGCAAACCCCGCACACGCGCCTAAATGTAAATGGCTAAAAAAACTAAATATAATCAGGAGAGTCTGCCGAGTTACAAGGCGCCCCATTTCTTTTACTAAGGAATGCAAATAACAGTAATGAAACTAATGAAAATATATAGATTTAGCCAGGGCTAAAAGCGAAGCTCTCGTTTATAAATTCATAATGTAAATCAAACAATAAACTTGCAATCCACAGATCAGGGCACATTCATTTGACTTTTGAGGCAAAGGCTAAGTGATTTTAGAGAAAAATAATTTGACAGTCCAAGAGTGAAACAAATTTTACATCGAGTTATTAAATAGTCTTATTTGTACACCCAAGATAGCAATCATGTTCGATCACAGTAGATTAGGCCTGGAAAACAAATAGACCTATTCATGTATTGTATTTACATTAGCTGTTGCATCATAATGTGGCATTCACCAGTCTCTCCAACATTGCTCCGTTAGAGAGACTATGGATAATTGGACAACCCCGAAATATAATTTTAAGAAACACACGCGCCACGATAGTCCTTGGTGGTAGCCAATTTACACGTTGCATTCCTCTGTCTAAAAGAGAGGCGAAAATAAAAAATCAGGCCGGATTTTTTGTGTTTGACAAGTTTAGTTTAGTAGTAAATCTTGGCGACGAATCTGGGGCGTGTAAACCAGCTTTATAAACATACTTTTTCTTATCACGTCTCAGGTAAACAGTACTCTGAGGCCCTTTTTTACCATACAGACCTCGGACAGAATTTTTTCTTTTTTGCCCTATTTAAACCTATAATTCGGAAGTTTTTCACAATTTTGCAAGAGAATTTACACTCATTCGATATCCACGACGATCCTTTGCACAACAAATTATAGCATTGAATTGTAAAACGTTGTCATGAAGAGAATTCTCAGATAATGCCGGGACTTTTCAGTTAGAAAAATCTGGTCCTATGTGATATGCAGGGTAATAATTACGGGCTTTAAATGAAAACGATAAAAAAAAATTCCCCAAATCACTTTTCGGCCAGCCGGACGGGTTCTCACTTTTGACAGGCACCAAATTTGCAGTGCGACTAATACAGTTACCATTTACGCTTCAACGTGATAGAGAAATTGTTATGTTTAGGTTTTATTTCCCTTTATTTAGTAAACTGTGTATGGTTTTGTTATTTATAATCTTTAAAAGCGAGTGATATTTACGGGCGGCGTTTTGAGTATTCCTGCATGCGATGTTTATGTTCGACTGGAAACAACCGGTGCAGCGATAAAAATTGCGAGAGAGACTACTAACAATCAATAAAATAAACATAATTCGGTGAAACATGTACAGAGACAATAATTTTCATTCACGAAGAGAAGTATTGAGAGTAAAGTGTCTCTGAAAATCATGAGTCAGGTACGCATAAGCTTATTTATTTTTTAAGCCGGCTCCCGGTGTTTGCTCTTTTTCAAGATGAACTCGAGGCAAGAAAATCGCTCAGAGCTTTCTGTTTACAGCCTAAATTATAACTAAATAATCTTCGGAACCTTTTCTTTGAATTTGTCACGTGATTGCCGAATTTTCTAGGATAGATAGATTTTCTAAGCTATGGGTGACATCAATGGATAGAAAAATGAGCCCGCAATACAGTCAGGTGATGATGGTCAGCGTATACTCTAGTTTGACAGCTGTCAATTAACCTTCATTAGAATGGCGAATATTCGAATTAACAGACTACGAGTGTGAGTAAGACATATCCGTCCGGCTTGTAGTGGAAAATGACAGATCGTGTACCTGAGCGAACCTGAGCCCAAGTTAATCTATGCACATATCCCATTTTGACAGCTGTCAATTGACCGTAATTTGGCTTGCCAATATAACTTTAAACGACTGTCAGCCGACTGACAGCCCAGCCCGGGGTAGTTTCGTTTTTATGTTGAATTGGTAAGTGTGACATATTATATCAGCTTATATGTAGGGGCAAAACGACTGATCTTTGATCTGAGCCCGCGAGATGGTCATGTGATAATTTTCAGCGGATGTCTGTTTTGACAGCTGTCAATCTAATCGTACTCATACGGATGGCTTACAAAACTGAAAGGCCAGTCAAGTTGTGCAAGATCTATTGTGACATTTGACATCGGCTTACATGAAGTGTGTGTACGGGTGGGCGTACTCTACGTCATAACCAAATTTTCTCGGATGGATAGTTTACCAAATTTTGTTACCCATGGTGCTCCGCTGCGCGCGCTTCGCGCGCGGGAGCTCCGCTATAACAACACGAAATACTTAGAAGGCGGGCTAAAAACAAAGTTGAACAAAAGGTAGATGATGACTGTTGCTGTGAACTCTCGAGCGAAACTATCGTAAAAAAACGGTGAAGTTTACGAACTTAAGTCAAAAATTATACAGAAAATTCCAACAGAATATGAATTGCGATGACTGAGACGAATGTGAAAGGCATGTGCACCAGTAAACAAAGAACTAGCACGATTAACATATTTAGCGATTAATGCGGCCGTAACACGCCGACTTCTTGTCAATACAACAGGACATTCTATCATCGTGACACCTCTCTCTGAATTTGGTCCTGTTGTACAAATGCCGCGGTAAAAGCCAAAATTCACTTATATCTTTTGCTCGTTTTAAGTTTTGTAAATCCTCCTTCTTTGTTATTTCCTTTGCCCTTATAACCTTGCCCTATTGATGTTTGATAGAGTTTATGAGGACCAGCGCCAGGCGCTGAATATAGTTCAAGAGCGACATAATATCTTTGTAACAGGCCAGGGTAGTACGGCTAGGTAGAACAATTGCCTTCTATCAAGTATTTTTTCAGCAGGGTAGGGTGGCTTTTAGTCTGCTACACAGCCGTTTTTAGTGTCGTCACGCAACGCTGCGCGACGACACTAAAAACGGCTGTGTAGCAGACTAGGTGGCTTTGGGCAAATGATGTATCGGTCCCCAGAAAGGTCACCTCAGGATTCCCGGGGTGGATTTTTTTTGTACAGTGCCCAGGCATCATTTTCCTGGCCGCGCGTTGATCTGGCCCGGCTGCTTCGGCGAGCATATTCTCGGTCTGTTTGGATTTATATCCTTCGAGTTTGTCAAAGTCTCTGTGGGATTCGTTTCTCTATCTGGGAAAGCTTCATTGGTTTCTATATCTGCTGCTATCCTATTTCTACGATCCTGGCATGTTTATTTTCCGTTGGAGTTCGAATTTCCTGGAAAAAGTTGTGTTGAATGAGAGCATGTCGGCGAAAATGGCATCTCGTGTTTCCTACCTTGTATATTATTATTGTAGATAGAGTGAATTTGAACAAATTACTGCAAATTATCACGAAGCTTCGTTGGAGCAATAAGGACAACAACAATTAAATGCAGAGTAAGTTTCATTGATCTTTATTCAGTATTTCCTAGAAATTTTAGGATGGTATTTTTACCCCATACAAACACTTTAATTTTACTGGAACCGTACTGTGGTACTATCACAGAGCCTGGGTTACCTGTGGTGAGAGCACTCGCCTCCCACCAATGTGGCCCGGGTTCAAATCCCGGCGTCGCCGCCATATGTGGGTTGAGTTTGTTGTTGGTTCTCTCCTTTGCTCGGAGAGGTTTTTCTCCGGCTACTCCGGTTTTCCCTTCTCCTCAAAAACCAACATTTCCAAACATTAATTCGACCGGGAATCAGGTAGACGAAGAACCGCTATGTGGATGTGCTACCTCCAAATCGTAATTTATTTATTTATGTTTCACATGCAATCCTATTAAACAGTTTAAGATAAATATCAAACTTCAGTTTGAGCTTCAAGCGGCATGAGTTCACTACAACTCTTTTTTTTTTACATACATCAATTCAATAAATTAGAAGCAGAAAGTTGTGAAGAAGCCAAAAAGGCCCACAAAGTACATGTGTGTGTGTAAAAAGTTTTCAGCCTGGCAGGTATTTCTTACAAGTTACATAAGAGTGGGTGCTCAAGTCCGCTTCCCAGCAAATGTATCGTAGACTGATATATATACGACTCTTTGTCAGAACTGATCATAACAACTGTGCTTTGGGAGCGATGTGG